TTGACTATCTATATTTGTAGAGGGTTTTGTTTATCTTCTGTTCTCAGCTGGAGAGGGGGACTTTGAGAAGGCAGAGCGTAACTGATTAAAACAAATGTATTTTAAAATAAAAAATACAAGTTCATGGACCCCCAATTAAGAACTTCTCCTTTGTAGGGAATCCCTCTTCCGTTTTGTCTCTGTCTTATATGGTAGTGTCTTTATCTTTTATTGCTTGATATTAATGCTTGTATATTGGGGGAAAAGTTAATTCTGTGATTACATCTTTTTTTTTTTTTGGCTAGGCAATGGGGTTAAGTGACTTGCCCAGGGTCACACAGCTAGTAAGTGTTATGTGTCTGAGGCCAGATTTGAACTCATGTCCTCCTGAATCCAGGGCCGGTGCTCTATCCACTGCGCCAACTAGCTGTGCCTTGTGCTTACATCTTTAAAAGAATTTTCTATGATTTTGACATATATATGGAATACCTGTTGTTGGAAGAGAGGATTTAAGGTGGTTTAGCTCCACTGAATCAAGTTTGTATTCTCAACACCTATTAGATTAAAACTTCAACCTGCTCTAGAACATAATTAGAAAAAAGCTGTTTTCTTTCCTTCTTATTCTTTCATTAGAGATTCCTCAATGCCACTGTAGAATAGACTCATAAAATTTTGCAGATGAGAAAGTAGACATGAATCAGTAGTCACTGATACTTTTCACTCACTTTTTTTGGTAAGTATAATGTATTAGATTTCTTCCAAATGTTTGATAACATCTCTTTTTTCAACTACCTTGAGAATCAATGTATCATTCATTGCCTTCAAAACGGTGTCTCTTCAAGATGGTTCAGCTGCTTCTTCTGTCTTTGAGTTCTTTAATCCCATATCTGTTTCTTTTATATTTTTAAATTTTTTGTTTTTAGTTTTCAACATTCACTTCCATGAGATTTTAAGTTTCAAATTTTCTCCCCATCCTTATCTGCCCCCCAACCCAAGACAGCGTGCAATTTGTTATAGGCTCTACATATACATTCATATTAAACCTATTTTTACATTAGTCGTGTTGTAAAGAAGAATTAAAACCAATGGGAGGAACCATGAGAAAGAAGAAACAAATAAAAAAAGGAGGGAGAACAAAAACTGTGCTTTGATCTTCATTCAGATTCCATATTTTTTTTTCTGGACGTGGATAGCATTTTCCATCATGAGTCTTTGGGAGGTGTCTTAGATCCTCACATTGCTAAGAAGAGATAAGTCTATCAAAGTTAGTCATCACATAATGTGGCTGTTAACATGAACAATGTCATATCTGTTTCTTCAAGCAGCCCATCAGGGGCTGGTTAAAGTCTAAACATGATATCTTCTTTTTAATTGATGGAGAAAAGAATTTATGATAGAAGTCTTATAGATATTTTCCATTTTTCTTTTTTTTTTGTCTTCAGGTTTTGTCTTTAAATGATTGATCTGGTCTAGCTGAGTCTCTTACCTATCTTTCTGTAAACTTTTAAAGAAAATTTCATTTTTCCCAATTGCATGTATAAACAATTTTTAACAATCGCCTTTTAAAATCTTGAGTTCTAAATTCTCTCCTTCCCTCTTTCACCTCTCCCTCCTAAGGTGGTAAGCAATTTGATATAGGTTATGCATGTGCAATCATGTAAAACATATTTCCATATTAGTCATTTTGTAAAAGAAGAGAGACCAAAAGAGAAACACACACACACAACAAACATACTCAAAATGAAAAATACTACGCTTCAGTCTGCATTCAGACTCCATCAGTTCTTTCTCTGGAGATGGATAGCATTTTTCATCACGAGTCCTTTGGAATTGTCTTGGATCCTTGTGTTGCTGAGGACAGCTTAAGTCATTCACAGTTGATTATTGAACAATATTGCTGTTACTGTGTACAATGTTTTGTTTCGGCTCACTTCACTTTGCATCAGTTTATGTAAGTCTTTGCAGATTTTCTGAAAGCATCCTTCTTGCTTGTCATTTCTCATAGCACAATAGCATTACATTACAATCATATATCACAACTTGTTCAAACATTCCCCAATTGATGGGCATTCCTTCAATTTCCAATTCTTTGCTACTACAAAAAGAGCTGCTATAAAATCTATATTTAAATATAAAATACAAATAGGTCCTTTTCCTTTTTTAAAAAATCTTTTTTGGAGGGACAGATACGTGGCACAGTGGATAGAGCTCTAGCCTTGGAGTCAGGAGGACCTGAGTTCAAATCCAGCCTCAGAGACTTGATACTTACTAGCTGTGTGCCGCTGGGCAAGTCATTTAACTCTGGTTGCCTGACCAAAAAAAACAAAACAAAAAAATAAATTACTGGGAGCACAGGACATGAAATATGGAAATTATAGTAAAGAAATTACATTAGAAGATGTTTACACTTGTTTGATATAAGAAAGTCAGAAAGATATTTTCACTTTTGTTCATTCATTCAATAAAATTAAGGACCTATTTATAGGCTTTGGTTTCCTCATCTGTAATAATAATAATAATAATCATAATGATGATAGCTAGCATTTAGCTCTATGTAAGCTCTTACATAGAGCTTTTTTGCAAGCACTTCACAATTATTATTATCTCATTTCTTCCTTCACAACTCTGGGAGGTAGGTGCTATTATTATCTTAATTTTAAATTTAAAGAGGTTAAATTTACGAAGTTAAGTGACATGCTCATACTCACACAGCTAGTAAGTGTCTGAAGCCAGATTTGAATTAAAATATTCCTTTTTAGGCCTGTGGTGTAGCCATGTGCTACCTAGTTACATCACAATCTGTGGAAATAATCACAGAAAGAAGGCACTAGTTATTATGAAGAAGACAGCAGGAGTCACCAATATAAAATGCCATTGATGTCAAGGAGCACCTTCCTTTGAATTTATTAATTTATATTATAATTCTATCCATACATATTGTACTTCAATAGACTGTAGGCAAGAACTGTGTCTGATTTCATTGTATATTTTCAGTTTGAATTGAGTTGGTCATTATTCCTGGTGGGTAATTAGGTCTATTTGGCAGGACTGGGAGCAGCTCAATATACATTTCAGAAAGATACCTTTGTCTTGTGCCTTATGCCCAATCATAAGAGTATAGCTTTAGAACTGGAAAGGATCTTACATCTTTAAATCTAACCCTGCTCATTTTATAGATAAGGAAATGAGGTCTAGAGTGGTTAATCCAACACCCCCAAAAAAGGTTTACAGATGAGACTGAGAGGGGTTAAGTGACTTATTCAGGGTCACACAACTGGTAAATGTTTGAGGCAGGCTTTGTTTTCATTTCTCCCTGACTCCAAGACTAGTACTCTATCCATGGCAGAGCCCATGTTCAAACCTATGTCGTCTGGTTTGAAATCCAGCTTTCTTTCTACTGTATATTTCTTCCTTTCTCTTCCATCACCCCACTGTACCCAACCCTAGCCTAATTCCTTCTTTTTGAAATCTGTTTTCTTTTCTACCAAGCTACCAATGGCAGGCAGCCTTTGGGAACAGGAGACAACAGGTGTATATTGATGGTTGAGAGGAAGAACCATAGGAGAGATTCTCTGGGGCAGTATTTAGAGGTTGAAATTCTTTCTGTTATTATTATTATTATTTTTTTTTTTTAGGCAATTGGGGTTAAGTGACTTGCCCAGGGTCACACAACTAGTAAGTGTCAAGTGTTTGGTCTGAAGCCGGATTTGAACTCGGGTCCTCCTGACTTCAGGGCCAGTGCTGTATCCACTGCACCACCTAGCTGCACCTGAATTCTTTCTAAAACAAGTTTAAGGCAGTATTTTTTAATAGTTAAACTGTGCTTTTTTTTGGTGGGGGGTGGAGCAGTAAAGGGAACCAATTTATTTTCTTCTACAACCTGATCTACATATTTCCCAGAATGAGAATGGGCTGTTAAAAAGAAATGCCCTATTTCATTTCTTAAATACACAAATTATTTACTGGGTTTATATTTCTGTCAGACTTTGGTAAAGTTGACTCTTGAATGGCACCACATGAAGGTAAAATTATGAAGTAACTGCTAAGCTATTTATACAGACTAGACACTTTTCTCAAGGTTTGTAATTTTTTTGTCAACATTTCAGGCTTGCAAAGTCTCCATCATCAGGTTTTAATTCACACATGCTGATAGTCTCCAGACTCTTTAAAAAAATTGAAAAAAAATCTGTGAATTAAGCTTATAAAAGTAAGTCACGTGGTCAAGTTTGGCCACCTCTAATGCTCTTCTTCAGAATTCCCTTTCTTATAATGAGTCAATAATAGAGAATGTAATTGATCTCCTTACTTTCAGCCGTTAGAAACCTGAGGCAGGACAGAGTTGTGTTTAATTTTATTCTGTTGTGTGACTCCCATTTGTCAGTAGGTAAAAACTTTTCCCATTCCCAAGAAAGCAGTGCCTCCTGTGAATAGCTGCTTTACACAGGCATCCATTGTTCAGAGATTTTGATTCCTCACTGAGCAAAAGCTACAGCATTATAAAGATGCCAGTTTAATTTTTGGTTTAAAAAAATCTTTTTTTTTTAAGTAAAAAAGAAACACCCACTGTTGAGGCAGTCATGAAAGAAAACCTCTTTTCAGAACCCTTGGAACAAGTGGATGGGGAAAGTTGAGGGGGAATAGGGTAAAAGACTGGGAACCTGGCTTTTTTCCAAAAACTAGAAAAGACTACACAGTTAGGAGAGAAGTAATTGAACACTTTGGAAATTCCTTTGAAGAACTAACGCAGTGAAACTTTTAAAGATAAAAATAAAGAAAAGCTAAATGCATAATAATTCCATGTAACAAAATATAAATGGTTGTTTGAAGTACTAAGTAATGAAATTTATAAATGCTTAATGTAGTGAGAACAAGCAGTGTGTTAAGTATTGGCAGTGTTTTTACTTGGAAAGAGCTAAATAAAAATCTGGCAAAGTTTTAATGTCTTGTTAAATTGCCTCCTGAACTTTTTGCCGGGCTTCTAGAAATATATATCAAGTGTATTTGCTCTCATTTTCTTGTAGATTACTCTGTGCTTGGGAAGGGGATCTTCAGAGGTAAGGATAAAACTGATACAGTTGACATATCTACAAAAGCATTTCTTTTTTTTTCATATTGTAATGACCATTTTTAATGTACTTACCTAAACATGATGTTTATGTATAGAAATTGATTGAAGAATGAATAAAAATCATTCAGAGCACTGGAATTTAATATCTCTGGAATATGTTATATTTGAATAGGTACTCTAAAGAGCCAACAATGGTAGATTTAAAATTATGATGTGTACTATATGAAACCTGAGTGATATAAAGAATAATTTAAGAGAGAGAGATTGTTGGAAATAGCCAAAAACCTAAAATGGAGAATGTATAATGAACCAAACCCTAAAAGGGGTCGTCATAGAAAGGTGAATTTTGAATGTGATTCCTTCAGAATGTGAAGATAATGTATAATTTATGCATAGAACCAAGTATGGACAGTCCCTATCTTTCTATTCCAGTGATTACTGCTACCAATTAAAAAATTATTTTCCTTTTGATTCATTTCTCAAAAAGAAAAGAAAAGAAAACAACAAACTACCTTGCTTTATAGGTTCTTCATTTGTAGGAAGTCATTCAATCATCTATAACCTGTATACACATCTGCCTGCACAAACCTACCAGTTCAGAGGTTTTCAAGTTGTTACATGTTTGTAACAATAATGGATGTTTAGTATGTGGCTTGTAAATGACAGAAAAGAGGAGGGTGTGATGATTACAGTCTCTCTTCCCCTTCCTGTTTGGTGTCAGGTGGCAGGAGAGTTAATTTCTGGTTGACAGGATGGTAAAACATTGATGTATTTTTCCCCTTCCTTTCATTTTGCATTTGTATAATATTTCCTTCTTTAATTTAGAAAAATGTTCCTTTGTACAAAGTATAACTGTAAAGTTATAAGAATGATTTGTGTGTGTCTTACAAATTTGTTGTCAAGGCAGTCCTCCCCCAGGGGAAAAAAGAGTGTGTGTGTGTGTGTGTGTGTGTGTGTGTACATCACATGTGTACATATATACAAAGCATATGCATGTACATACACATATATAAATACATATTAATAATGGAAGCTTTATGGAAATAAGTGGGTAGTTTCTCAAAGTGCCTCCACTGAGGAGGGGAATAACATTCATTTGGTTGTACAAGTTTTGACATTAGAAAAAGTAAAGCTGGTATATTTTTATCAACACTAAAAGAGGATGCTTACAAAGAATCCTCAACACTATCATATTATGGAAACAACTCAGTTTATTCATAAGTAAATGACATTTTGTGTGAATATTCAGTGTGAGAAATAACCCATTCAGTCTCAGGAGGGATGAAATTAAAAGCTCAGTTTATTATGCAGTTGCAAAAACAGGTGTCCTACGGAAGAGGCACACACCGTACCAAAGCAAGAGTTCATTATTTATCTCTAATCCTGGCCGCAAAGTCCCTCCTCTCTTTCCTCAGTGGTTGAGTACTCCAGAGTGTACAACTTTCCGGTAAACCTGTTACACATCTCACCTTGATGTGTTCTTCCTCCTGCCACATGCGTTGCCTAACCATTAAAATGAACCTTTACTCTTCCCTGAAGAGAAGTCACTATTAATGAGCTTATTACTCATGAGAATTCTAAACAAAGTTTAGCCTTTGTCCTACTTAACTGACTTCTAACACCAAAACACAATAAAACCAGCCTGGCACTGTGTTACTTAGTTATTCTTCTAGCTGTCACTCACACTTTGGTTCTATCTCTATTCAGGTTGACAAAATATTCTACCTTGTCTCCACTCCTTATCTGAGTAAAACAATTCCAATCTGAATTAAGACTCTCTGTTTAGTGTTCAAATTAACAGAAGGAAACTCAACTGCAGGATGCCTTTCCCTGAAACTGTACTTTTCTAGTCTATAACTATCTAATTACCAAATTAACTCAAATAATATGAACACCTAATACAATCAGTTTCTAATGCTGATGCATATTACTGACTTACACATCCCAACTGCGATAATAGTATTCATATACTAAAAATTTGAGTAGAAACGTCTTTCAATGTCCTTAACAGACAGCTTACTTGAATTTTTAAATGCTGCTACCTTCATTAAAATCTCCATAACTTAAATGTTTTATTCTATTTAAATGAACCCTGGTCTTGTTATTTATATTAAAGGTTAGCTATGTCCTGAACAGATCATTTAGGGTACTTAACAGAAATTTAGCATCTATTTGCTACCCATTTCATCAGGGTAAATCATGTCATTCATGTAGACATTGAAGAAAGGATTAAACATTACTGAAATAGAAATAATTAACAGTACAAACACCTGTAGGTACAAAATGAACATCAGTAGAAAAGGAGGAAAATAATATATGATCACTTGTATTAATAGAAATGCAGGGGAGCCAAGATGGCGGAGTGAAAAGGTAGTTGCTCTCACTTTCCCCTATCAACCTCTGAAAACCCAGAAAATACCATCCCAGAAAAAAAACCCTGGAACAGCTGAACTAGAAGAAAGACAGGGAGCAGCAGGGCAGCAGCCCAGCAAACGGGTCTCCCAGTGCCTCAGCAAAAATAAGGGAGGCAGCACTGAAAAAGGCCCTGGGCAGATAAGTACCCTGAAGCATTCATCTGAAAAGAGCTGAAGAAAGCAACCTAAAGACCTAGCCTTGCTGATTCCAGCCCAACACCAAGTAAGCTCTCAGAACCTCCAACTTTCAATGAGGAAGAGATCCTGAAGCCCAGGTGGTAGAGCAGGCAATCACCAACACCTGGACCTCCCAGTACCTCAGTGAGTTCGGAACCAGTGGAAACCAGCTCAGAAAACCACCAGGGCCTCACTCTACACAAAGGAATCTCCCGTGCATTAGCAGAAAGAGGGAGACAACACTGCAGGGGCCCAGGCAGATAAACACCCTGCAGCACCCATCTAAAAGGAGCTGAAGAAAGCTAAAGGAAAGGAAAAGCAGGCAACCTAGAATTGCCTGAAAGTTCCAGCCTTGCTGATTCCTGCCCAACAAGAGGTAAGCTGCCAGAACCTACAGCCTCTAATTGCCAACATAAGAGGCCCCAGCACACAAAGCCAGTGACCAAGACCTAGGCTCCCAACACAAGAAGCTTGGGTCAGTGCCCTCTGTTCCCCAGCAGGAGAGCTCAATCTCTTTAAAGGCCAGGGAATAAAGAAACACCATGAGTAAAAAGAAACGTACCATAGATTCATATTGAGAAGAGTGAAGATCAAGACAGAAATTCTGAAGAGGACAACATTGTCAACAAACCCACATCTGCAACAACAAAAGGGAATATGAACTGGTCTGAAGCCCAAAAAGCCTTCTTAGAAGAGCTCAAGAAGGATTTTAATAGTCAAATGAGAGAGGTAGAAGAGTCCTTAAAAAATACAATTGGCCAATTGGAAAAAAAGTACACTGAAGAAAACAAGTCCCTAAAAACACAATTGGCCAATTGAAGAAGGAAGTACAAAAACTAACAGAAGAAAACAATCTGTTAAAAACTAGAATTGGACAAATGGAAACTAATGTCTCTATGAGAGAGCAAGAATCAGTCAAACAGAAACAAAAAAATGAAAAAATAGATGAAAATAAAATACCTCAGTAAAACAACCGACCTGGAAAATCGATTCAGGAGAGACAATTTAAAAATTATTGGACTACCTGAAAATCATGATGAAAAAAGAGCCTGGACAGTATCTTTCAGGAAATCATAAAGGAAAACTGCCCAGAAGTCCTAGAACCAGAAGGGAAAATAACCATAGAAAGAATACATACCCACCTGAAAGAGATCCCAAATTGACAACGCCAAGGAATATAAGCAAAATTCCAAAATTACCAGATGAAAGAGAAGGTGCTGCAAGCAGCCAGAAAGAAACAATTTAAATATCATGGAACCACAGTCAGGATTACACAGGACCTTGCAGCTTCTACATTAAAAGACCACAGGGCATGGAACATGATATTCTAAGGCAAAGGAGCTTGGAATGCAGCCAAGGATCAATACCCAGCAAAAATGAGCATCATTTTTCAAGGAGGAGATGGATATTCAAAATAGGGACTTCCAAACTTTCCTGATAAAAAGACCAGAGCTCAACAAAAAATTTGATCTTCAAGTACAGGACTCAAGAAGGACATAAAAAGGTAAATGGGACAGAAAGATACAATATGTTGTTAATAAGGGGGCTGTTTAAACCCTACAAGGGAATATGACACTTGCAACCCTTGAGAACTGTATTGTTATTACACCATGTTAAAGGAGTATACATAAAGAGGGTGGATATTAGTTGACTTTGATGTAATGATAAAAAAAAATCTAATCAAGTGGGTTAAATGGATCCAAATAAGTGGATCAATCTGATCTTAGAAAATGTACTGAGAAAGGAGGAGGCAGACAAGGGTAAATTACATTACAGGAAAAGACACAAAATCCTATTACAGCAGAGGGAAAGAAGGGGGGGTGAGCATTGTTTGAACCTTACTCTCATCAGATTTGGCTCAAGAAGGGCATAACATAATCAGTTAGGTATAGAAATCTAACTTGCCCTATAGGCAGTAGGAGGGAAAAGGGGAAAGAAGGGAGGGAAGAAGCAGTAAGAGTAAAGGGGAAGAAAAGGGAAAGGGATAATAAAAGTGAGGAGGGACTGAAGGAGGTGGTGGTCAAAAGCAAAACACTAGTGAAGGGGGTAAAGGAAAAAGGAGAAAGAAAAGCATAAATAGGGGGAAAAGGATGGAGAAAAAGACACAGATAGTAATCATAACTGTGAATGTGAATGGGATGAACTCTCCCATAAAATGGAAGCAGATTGCAGAATGGATTAAAAACCATAATCCTACAATATGTTGTTTACAGGAAACACATTTGAAAAAGAGTGACACATACAGGGTAAAGGTAAAAGGCTGGAGCAGAATATATTATGCTTCAGCTGAAGTAAAAAAAGCAGGGGTAGCAATCCTGATCTCAGACAAAGCAAAAGCAAAAATAGATCTAATCAAAAGAGATAAGGAAGGAAACTACATCCTGCTAAAAGGCAC